CATGTGAAATAACATAGCATCTGAGATATATTTTAAATTACTTTAGCAAAACAAACAAAAACAAAAGTTATGTGTACAATCCTAAGTAAAATTAGGTGTTGGTACATAAGTGTTTTTACTCTTCTACTAGCATGTACGTTTAAAAAAATTGCATAATAAAAAGTTGAATGAAACCACTAAAAGACTCGGTGTTTTTGCAAAAATTCTTATTCAACAATATTATTGACTCATTTAACTTTAACTTTAAAAGAGTTAGTGGTAGCTATTAAGATATTTCAGAGGTTAAGGAAAACAATAGAATTTAGTAAAGTAAGTTACGTGATAGCTGTAAACAGCCTGTATGTACTTTGGAATTGAGTCTATGGAATTCTCACAACGTTAGTATAGAATGGGACTATTTACAGTTACTGAAAGTGCTGTAATCCGTCAGGACCCTGTAAGTTTTGTGAGAGCAGAGAATTTTATGTGTTTTGCTCACTACTTTATCCCCAACTCCTAGAATGGAGCCCCACCTCCTAGTCAGGTGCTCAGTGAATAGTTTGTTGAATTAATGAATAGGCAGTGTTAGAATTTGATCATTTCACACTTTGTACAAATTACAGACATACCTCACAGATACTGTGGGTTCAGTTCCAGACCACTGCAATAAAGTGAATATCACAATAAAGCAAATCACACAAACTTTGGTTTCCCAGTGCATTTGGAAGTTACATTTACACTATACAGTTGTCCCTTGAACAACATAGGGGGTTAGGAATGCCGAACCCTTGTACAGTCGAAAATCCACATGTAACTTATGACTCCCCCAGAACTTAACTACTAATGGCCTGTTGTTGACTGGAAGCCATACCAATAACAAATTGTTGATTAATACATATTTTATATATGTATTGTATACTGTATTTTTACAATAAAGTAAGCTAGAAAAATGTTACTAAGAAAATCATAAGGAAGAGAAAATATATTTACTGTTGATTAAGTAGATCATCATAAAGGTCTTTGTCCTTGTTGTCTTCATTTGAGAAGGCTGAGGAAGGGTTGGTGTTGCTGTTTTGGATGCAAGAGGTGGAAGAGGTGAAGGTGGAAGGGGAAGTAGGAGAGGCAGGCACACTCAGTGTCAGCTTTTATTGAAAAAAAATTCATGTGTAAGTGGACCCACACAGTTCAAACCTGTGTTGTTCAAGAATCAACTGTACTATAGTCTATTAACAGTGCAATAGGATTGTCTAAAAAAATGATGTACATAGCTTATTTAAAAAATATTTTATTGCTAAAAAATACTAATGGTCATCTGAGCCTTCAGTCAGTCATAATCTTTGTTGGTGAAGTGTCTTCTATTGATGTGGATGGCTGCTGACTGATCAGGGTTGTCGTTGCTGAAGGTGGGGGTAGTTGTGGCAATTTCCTAAAGTAAGACAACAGTGAAGTTGGCCGCATCTATTGACTTTCTTTCATGAACGATTTCTCTGTAGCATGTGGTGATGCTATTTGATAGCATTTTACCCACTGTAGAATAGCTTTCAAGATTGCAGTCGATCCTGTTAAACCCTTACCTTATCAACTAAGTTTATGGAATATTCTAATCCTTTTTTGTTGTGTCAACAACATTCACAGCATCTTCACCAGGTGTAGATTCCATCTCAAGAAACCACTTTCTTGACTCATCCAAAAGAAGTAACTCCTCATCTGTTAAAGTTTATCGTGAGATTGCAGCAATTCAGTCACATCTCCTGGCTCTACTTTTAGTTGTAGTTCTTCTTGCTGTTTCCACCACATCTGCAGTGACTTACCCCACTGAAGTCTTGAACCCCTCAACGTCATCTATGAGGGTTGGAATGAGCTTCTTCCAAACTCCTGTTAATATTGATATTTTGACCTCCTCCCGTGAATCACAAATGTTCTTAATGGCATCTGGAATGGTAAATCATTTCCAGAAGGTGTTCAGTTTACTTTTTCCCAGATCCATCAGAAGAACCACTATCTATAGCAGGTATATAAAATGTATTTTTCAAATAAGAAGACTTGAGAGTCAAAACTACTCCTTGATCCATGAACTGCAGACTAGATGTTGTGTTAGCAGGCATGAAAACAACATTAATCTTTGTGCATTTCTGTCAGATGTCTTGGGCGACTAGGTCATTTTTAATGAGCAGTAATATTTTGAAAGGAATCTTTTTTCTGAGCAGTAGTTCTCAACAGTGGGCCTAAAATATTCCATAAACTATGCTGTAAATAGATGTGCTGTCATCCAGGCTTTGTTCCATTTCTAGAGCACAGGCAGAGTAGATTTAGCATAATTCTTAAGGGCCCTAGGATTTTTGGAATGGTAATTGAGCATTGGCTTCAACTTAAAGTCACTGGCTACATTACCCCTAACAAGAGTCAGCCTTCCTTTGAAGCTTTTAAACTGGACATTGACTAGCTCTGAAGGTCCTAGATGGCATATTCTTCCAATACAAGACTACTTTTCTACCTTGAAAATCTGTTGTTAAATGTAGCCATCTTCATCAGTTGTATTAGCTAGATCTTCCATGTAACTTGTTGCAGTTTCTACATTAGTACTTGCTGCTTCACCTTGCACTTTTATTTTATGGAGGCAGCTTCTCTCCTTAAACCTCATGAACTAATCGCTGCTGCTAGCTCCCAGCTTTTCTTCTGCAGCTTTCTTACCTCTCTTAGCTTTCATAGAATTGAAGAGAGCTGGGGTTTTGCTCTGGATTAGGCTTTGGCTTAAGGGAATGTTGTGGCTAGTTTGATCTTTTATCCAGATCACTAAAACCTTCTCTATTAGCAATGAGGCTGTTTTGCTTTCTTATCATCCTTGTGTTCACTGAAGTAGCACTTTTAAGTTCCTGCAAGAATTTTTCCTTTACATTCACAACTTGTCTGGCTGTTTGGCCCAAGATTCCTAGCTTTCGGCCTATCTTGACCTTTGACATGCCTTCCTCACTCAGCTTAAACATTTTAAAGTAAGAGATCTGTGACTTTTTCACTTGAACACTTAAAGGCCGTCGTAGGGTTATTAATTGGCCTATTTTCAATATTGTTGTGTCTCAGAGAATAGGGAGGCCCAAGGAAAGGGAGAGAGACAAGGGAATGGCCAGTTAGTGGAGCTGTCAGAACACACCCATTTGCTGATTAAGTGCACGTCCTTTATATGGATATAGTTCCTGGTGCTCCAAAATAATTACAATAGTAACATCAAAGATCACTGATCACTGTAACAGATAAAATAATAATGAAAATGTTTGAGATATTGCAAGAATTACCAAACGTGACATGGTGACATGAAGTGAGCACATGCTGTTGGAAAAATGGTACCAGTAGACTTTGCTCAACACAGGGTTGCCACAAACCTTCAGTTTGTAAAAACGTGAAATACCTTCGAAGTGCAATAAAACGAGGTATGCCTGTATTGAATTTCCATTAGAAGTTTCTTTATGCTGTCAAGTTTCTGAAATTTATGTGCTAACATTGGAACTTGAAATATTATATTTTACTGTAGTCCTTAGCAGAATTCTAGAGAATATTTCTAGATTAAGTGATATGTATGATTACGTATTTGAAAATCTTAAATCTTGTGTTGACATACGCTCTTACACATTTCAGGAAGACAAACTTTTGCTTGAGAGCCAGCTGATCCTAGCTACAGCTGAACCACTGTGTCTTGACCCTTCTATAGCAGTAACTTGCACAGCAAACAGACTACTCTATAACAAGCAAAAGATGAACACTCGTCCAATGAAACGGTAATTGCCTTTGTGGAAGGGGGAACCGAAAGACATTCCTGTGACAAGTAGTTCTAAATTTTGCTGTTTATAGTATCTTTTTTCCTCCAGAGTTTAAGTGCTCTGATTTTTTTTTAATTTGAAAATAGGACTTTTAATGGCCTTGTATTATTTTTTTATGTATTATGATTTTTTAATGTTCTCTGCTTTGTACTGAAGTGATGCATTTTCTGCAGTCTTTTAG